TCCTGCTGACACTAACAAGCTCTGAATTCCTACTAATTTGAGAGCACTGAGGACAAAAATTTAGGTCCAGCCATTTCCTTCAGTGGGACAGCAATAGCAACAACAATCATCTCTGCATCCTACTATTGCAATGCTTGTCAGCTCAGAGGACTCCAAGCCTTTCTTTACAGATTTCAAATGCCAAAATTCTAGTCCCTGATGGCATTCCCTGCCTTATTAGGTGCTATCAATCAATCACCGTGAAGCGCCGCTAGGCAAAAAGAAGTAGAATTAATTCTGAAATAAGGCAGTGCCAAATCAGAGAAACCCTTATGTATGCTCTTATTTATGCCATATGAGGATCTGATTCCTATCTGCATATAAAACATAATGGAAGATGTTAACGAAGCAACAGAAAAGCCTACATCAAACATATCTTGTGCTTATTTTAATAGGAAACTGAGATCTTTGTGACTTTGACAAAGTCAGAGAACAGCACTTATGGATTCTCTGTAGTTCTTAACAAAGTGGACAGCTGCCTGTATGTCGATGAAATCTTGAATGAGCCTGCCCTGTCTGATGGAAGACTAAGAAGGGGAGACAGAATCATTATGGTACAGTAATCGTTTGAGTTTGTACAAGAGGAGAGAATATTTGCAGATGAATGTCATTTAGCTTAGGTATTCTTCATCCCATAGGGTCCAGTTTATCACATATTTAGGCATGCAAGTGCAAATGGATCCCATAATAAATGCGATTCTGCTGACTTCAGCAGGACAACTATCAGACTGAATAGATTGTATGACCAGGCAAATAACATGAATCATCTAGCAGCAATGCAAGACAACAGAGACATTAAATGCCTTCCCAGTTAAATGACAAACTGATAAGATAGGTGACATACAAAGGATGCGGGAGTTACATCCTTTGTAACGTATGACTAAAGCCTGTTTTCAGCCTGGTTCATCTTCAGTTTCTTGCATTAGGCTGTCTTGGTTTTTTGCTACAAAAACCTTGAGTTTCAAGAAAAAAAGAGCTATTTTTATGAAAACGCTGCATTCAGAAAAATAAAAGTTCAAAAAAGAAATCTTGCTGCAATCCTAACTGTTGCATTTAGTGACATTAAATACCACAGCAAAGCAGTAAGATGAAAGTGAAAACTAATTTAAGTTCATATGCAAAATTTAGAGTGGAGGGAGAAGTACATGATGGTCAATGAGATCTATGACATCATTTTACCGGTTTGTCATTTAGGTGAATGGAATTGATGTCACATCTTTACCATGCAATGAAGCCCTGACTTTACTGCAAAGCTCTCCTCCGGATCTGCACCTTGTGGTTGGTCGTGCTGACAGTGATCTGCGTCCGTCTATTAGGCCAGAGGAGATTCCTGAAATTACTCTCACAAAAGGTGCCAATGGACAGCTAGGTGTGTAGTAAATACTATGCATACTATTTTGGACAGGGATTACAGTTATTGTAAGATAATCATAAGCAACTGTGGTCTTGGATCAGTATGATCCTGAGTGACCTTGACAGCTTTATGCTCTCCTCCATCACCCATGACCAAGGAAGGGACAGCTTTATTTTGGGCAAGGCCTTAAAGGGAAGATTAATATCTTTAGATATCATTAGACCAATGAAGATAGTTGGAAAAATGATCTTTGTATTATCACCCTAGTGGCTGAAGTTTCTGGCAGATGTCCAGTCTCATATTTTTATGTTACTGATATACAGAAGTTGTTGGTAGTTAGATAATAATGTCTACTACCTGGAGAGAGAGAGAAAGAGAGGAGAGAAAGAGAGGAGAGAAAGAGAGGAGAGAAAGAGAGGAGAGAAAGAGAGGAGAGAAAGAGAGGAGAGAAAGAGAGGAGAGAAAGAGAGAGAGGGCAACGTTTAAGCAGGATGAGCCACTGGTTAGGGCAATAGTTTGCTGTTCAAAAAACCTGCACTCAAATCCTTGATTCACCACAGACAAAAGGCTTTATCCACATTGTGCAATACAAGGGATAAAAGAAATACCCACAGTGTGAGTATCTTGGTATTTCTGCAGAATGTGGTGAGTACTGCACACAGATAAACCTGTAGACCCAGGAAACAGTATAGCTATATTTGCTCAGGTACAGCATCCTGTTTCCAGTTCAGAAACTAGCTTGTTTGGCGATTGCTTGAATATTGTTGCACAATTCTGTTTTGCACTGTACAGGTATCTCCTTAGCTGTCACATGCCTCCATTCCCTGTCACTCTAAAGACTGGAAGGCACTTAAGCACTCTGGTAATGAAGGAGTTACGCTATGCAGCTAAGTGCCTTAGTCAAATGACTCTTCAACATCAAGTGAAATAAAGCACTATGGAATAACTGAAGCATAGAGATGGACATAGAAATGAAGCCATGTCAGGTTTTTCCATACTTTTTTAACATGTAATTGTGTTTCGTTCTCCCAGTCCAGCTCTTATACCCCATCTCACTGGGGCAAGACTGTTGTTTATAACGTTGGTAATTTGTTCAACCTATCTTTCAATGACCCACACCTATTCCATTAGTCTGTGTGCCACTGACAGTGAAATTCTAAACACGCTGCCACAAAAAATGCTTTCTCTGCATTATTCTAGGCTTGAAGCTGACAGGAGGAGCTGGAAGCAAGTTACAAGGTATTTATGTACTAGAGATAGTGCCTGGCTCTCCTGCCAGCATGGAAGGCAGTTTGCAGCCACGAGATCAGATTGTTTACATCTGTGGACTCTGGACTGAGGGCATTACCCTTGATGATGCAGTGAGAGTATGTGAAGCTGCCACCCAGAATGTCCAAATCAAAGCCACAAGGTAAATCTGAGCTGACAAGGTAAATCTGAGCATACTCAATCTTAATGTTAAAGCAGTTTTCTACATTTTACATCAACAAGTCAAACAATAAAAACACAACAAACTACAAGAAAAATGCCTCACCTCAAAGGTCTGAACATTGCAATCTGAGTCGTAACATCCACAAGATATCTTAACTACTTGTAATTACAACTAACACAGTGAATACAAGTAGACTTGTCTGACACAAATGAGAACTCTTCAAACTTACCATCCAAACACAAATGTGAACCCTTCAACTGTGAGGCCGGCCACCATTTTCAGATACTCTGTTCTGCAGGGAAAAATCATCTTTATATCTCCACCACTAGTGCCAACTTTCTCCACACATTCTCAGATTCAAAACTACAGGCAAGAAACTACCTCTGATGGGAAACTCCAGGTTATTTCCAACAGCCAAATGTTCTAGAAAGGTGTTAAAAATGCAGCATTTAATCTGCAGCAAGTTAAGAATTTCCCTCATCAGATCTTGTCTGCACTTTAGATTTACTGTGTTCTACAGTCTGTAAGAGCATCATCAGAAGTCCTGGACTGATGCAGAAATAGCTTCCAAAGATCTCAGAGGAACAGTCAAATAGTAACCCAAAAGTATGTGAATGACCTAAGTTTCATAACCTGAGTTAGTGACAGTGTGCCTGCCACAGCTATCTTAATGTAGCTGCAACTTCTATCAACATTTCATTAACCTGCACCAGGCTAGCGATGAAGAAACTGCAGCCTCATTCTACTTCTTGCTGTACAAGCAGTTAGTAGGCAACACATCCTGATCATAAGAATTTACAATCTAAGGATACAAACAGAAATAGGGTAAAGGAAATTACAGAAGTTCGTTCCCACTTTATAGAGGGGGAACTGAAGCTGAATTCAAAATGTACCACAAAGCAGTTCTGTACTAAGACAGATGGTTTAACATGTTCTTTCTTTCCACAAGCCATTTAAATAAAAAGTTTCATTATTGTTAGATACAGTCAAATATTTTACATACCGATGTAAATGCTCTTTAGGAAAGCACCATTAACAAAACCATAGCAGTACAAGTACAATTTAGACAACTGACTTTCTAAAAATATTTTTCATATGTGCTTTACAAAGCATGCAGCTCAATGGCTCACATATTTCACTTTTTCTGCCCCCCAGAAATGGCAATCCAGTGGTTCCTCTAGAGCAGGAAAATAGTAAGTAAGGCTAATATTTTTGGTTTTTAGCTCAAAACTTGCTTCTGATTTTGGAAATAAGCATAAGGTATTGATTCACTGCATTTAAAAAGTTATTAACAGATTGTAACTTGGCATTCGGTATTTCTGTTATGGCCATTCTAAAGGTCTGAATGAAATTTGGTTGCTCTTTAAAGATAGAAATAAAATGTATAATTCTCTAAAAATTATTTATTGCATTTTGTATAGTCAGTTTCTATTTTTTAATTTGTTGCTATTAAATGGGAATTTTATGTGATCAAATTTCAACATCCGTTTTGATTGAAACTATTCTCTAAGGGGTTTTACACCACTTTTTGAGCCATTCCTTAATGAGCCAATACTGTATCATCTAGACCAACTTTTAAAACTGTTATCAATAAATTTATAGAAAATCAGAAACAGGCAGCACCAATACCTCTTGGTTAATATAAAAGCATCCCTGACAGGGGATGATAATTAATACAAGACTTCAGTAATTATCTGCACTACAAAGACTTGACCAGAATTTCTCTAGCAGTAGGAGGAGTCACAGCAAGCAGAGGTTGCATATGCACCATCAGCTGACATCACATTTATGTCACTGCACAGAAAGTGTGTTAGCTATGCAAGTAACACTTTCTAGTGTCCATCTGGCTGGACTGTTAAGTCAGGCCTAACCCACAGTTTCATTTACCTGACTGGATATCTGAATTATTTTTTAACCGTACAAAGATGACCTGAAAAAGTAACACTGGATGAGAAGCTCATATGCCTACACTCATCTGAATACCGGCATATGTCTACCTGAAGAAATTATTCCAAGTCAAGCTAGTTACATATTTCCTACTCTACAAAAACTAGCTGTGTGTTTGTTTTCAAAAACTGAAGCAGCTTATTTCACTTACTGAAGAACAGCTGCTTTGAATTTACTACAAGACACAGATAAGGTTATGTGTAGTCTCAGCTACTGTGGTATAACTAAAGCGTGGTCAATGCGTGTCCTGTTAGGGCCTTGCTTACACATGCTTGCTCCACGAGCTTTTCAGATTCTAAGATTTCTCAAGACAGCTTCAAAATAGGTTACCAGATCTGATCCACCTCTGATACAGATTTATGATCTGTACAATGGTACAGTTTTCTGCCTCTTTTATAAAACAAGATTCTTCCCTTTTAGAAGGCATTTACTTAAAGAAATCTATAGTGATTTGGTATTTGGTGTTTTGTTTGCCATCCTCTCTGATAGACTGACAGATAAATCTATAACAATTTGTTATTAAGGATGAAAGCCTTCATTTTACAGACTCTCTTAGTTACAAAAATGCATACTAAAATTGCAAATGCAACAGGGAGCTTTTTTTGTTTGTTTGTTAACAACAGGACACTCATAATTTTCTGTAATTCATACATTACGAGCACTTTGTGCAAGACAACTAAGAGCACCAAGATATGATAAAGCAAAACCCCAAAACTGGGGGTGGGTGGGTAGAGGTGTGAGTGTCAAGAAATGCACATTGTCTTCTTACATCTCCATCGCTGCAGACACTAACACACTCTGCTGTGTGATTCCTCCTCCTCTGCCTGATCATTGCCACGCGTCTAGAATGACTCAGTCTGATCTCTCATTGTTGTTACAATTTTAAAAATAGCAACGACTGAGATGCAATACCTCTACAATTCATGACAGAATTGTTTATACCACTGTACAAATTGGCAAACTTAATCACGCAGTAGTAAGTGTCTCAAACTGTCTCATATAGTATCAATATGGATATTGATGCTTTGTTTAATAATCTAAGCACAGAGTTTACGTTCCCTTGTGTATATGAAGATTAGCAGGAGGCCTGTCAGAACAAACCTACATGTATGCTTTTAGGGCCACCTGCTGAGACAGAGAAAGACAATATTTCTTTCTCAAATGAAAACCTGAATTCCCGAGAACAGCATCTGCTGCATCAACATGGTAAGGAACTTTGTATTTTTCGGTTAGGGTTTGTAAAATTTTGTGCCCACTCTTCAAAAGAAAATAAGTCTGTAGGTGGTACTGGCAGCACCTGGGAAAGATTAATCCTTTACAAACAGAACTGCCTCCCTCAGAGTTTCAGATAACATTTATACATTACCTGTTGTCCACCTGGTACCTCTGACCCTCTAATATGCAGCTTCTAAAGCTTAGTTTGCAACTTGCTCGGTGGGAGGTAGAAAGTCTACAGGGATAATGTGCAGAAGGTCCGTTCACAGTTCAGGAATGTAAGCCCACATAAGTCCACAGGAATTTTTTTATATTTGACATGTAAAATATGAAATGCTTTATTATGTCTCGGAGTACGATATCGAGTGAGAACATTTAACCAGTGTTTTACAACTGGGTAAAAAATGCTGCTGCTTTTTCACAGAGAAACATTCGGAGGAAACAAACTGTGGTGCTCAGCAAAACACTCCCGATTCTCCAGAATGTAAGGTAAGTGACAATTTTATCAAGTGTGAGACAGTCCATCAAATGAAGTGAGCTATATGGAGTGAGATTTTTTCAATAGTGCTATTTGATGTATTTGTTTCCTCTCCAATTTCCTTGAAAATGTGAATATAATGCCTTTGGAGAGCATCCTGTGAAGTGTTGAATTGCTTCAGCATTCATGGACTAGAATGCACTGAGCACTTCCTGGGGCCAAACTCTCCTATTGCTGGTTTTCAATGTATAACATCACTATTTTAGCAGCTTGGTAATATAAGCACGACTCATATGATGTAGCCCCTCCATTAGGTCTTCATATTACTCTTAACAGCTTACTAGATTAGTCCTTAGCTTAGAAAGAAAATAGCACAGGAAAAAGACACAGAATGTCACAGCATGGGATTCTGGGGAAAATAAGTGTAATTGTGAAGCATTTTCCACAACAATTTTGAAACCTGAGATTAACATGTTTCATTCTGAAATTCTCAGATGGGGCATTTGAAACAAGGGTAAAATTATTCCAAACCTTTGGAGTATTATGCAGCATTGACATAAATCGTAACTGTTTGAATTTGGCAAGAGTAATGCCATTTTTGAAATGATGAATTCCTAAAATACACAGGTGTGTTCTTTGAAAAAAGAGTAAATATCCATGCTCAATATACACTGCTTCAGAATTCTTAGAAGTGCAAACATGACTTCTGTTTGTGCAAACGTGGAAAATAATGTTACTTGGAATTGAAATTACCCATATTGGGACTGATTTTTCATGGGACTAGATTTACTAGTTTCCTCCTGATTGTGGTTTGCAAAAAAGGGTTGTCTTGTTAAAATTAGACCTCCGATCTGGCAGAAAAATTGGAACAATTTTTTCACTTTTGATTAAGTCATCACTATTACTGCTTCTTCCACACCATTTAATCCATGATGGTTTATCTGTTCAACTTGCTAAAATAATTTCTGGGGATGATATTTGCAACATTGGAACTAGTCATGCTGCAAGACATAAACATTTCTAGGTTGCTGACATTTCTAATCTAATACTTGACCCTAAAAAAGCAGATGATTTTAAAACTGAACGAAGTGCTAAAGGCAAACAGATGGGGTAAGATGGTGTTGCAAGGTTAAGATTTTCATTACAGAACAATAAAAGAATGGAGTATGTACTGCAGTACTGTCATGCGGGAGATAGGAGTGACTTGTTTGTCAATGAAGGTAATGTATCTGATACTTTCTAAAAGGATTCTAAAAGTACATGTTTCCTTGCTCTTAAGAGGTTATTTTCCTCTCCAGCAATTATTAAAAATATTATGGAAATAATACTGTTTTCATTCTGATACGTACATGCAGCTGCTATGTTGATCACTGGAAGCTCTAGACACCTATTCAAGAGAAGGATCTATCCCATAATCAACATAAACCAGTGAGGACTGAAGCGTAATGGGATTCTTTGGTATTAAAAATGCAAACAAAACACAGCCCTGAATAAACTCCACGTTAGACTGCATCCTCTTCTATTGTAGGACTTCATTATTAAGATTGAGCTGGAAAAAGCAGAAAGTGGAAGCCTAGGATTTGCACTGGTAGGTGGAAGAAATGGCAGGGCTATCCTAATAAAAGCCATCAGCCCGGACAGCATTGCAGACTTAGATGGGAGGCTTCAAGTTGGTGACATTCTACTTAAGGTAATGCTTGTTCTCCGTTGTTTTGGCCTACATTTTCTCTAGTTACTCTATAATGAGCATTCTATTCAGTGTAAAGGTTGTGCAAATGGGAAATCTGAGGCTGCGAGGCATAGTTAACACGTGAAAGATGGTGTCCCTCAGCTCCTGGGGGTCAGAGGGCTGTTCTGGGTCCCCCCAGCCCTTGCCTAGAGTTCCGCTTCCTCGGGGACTGGGCCGCTCTACGGCTGGAAGGGGGCTGTTGGGCACTCACTCCAGCAGAAAAGCAGACCCAGAATAGCAGGGCAAACAGAAAAGTGCAACTACTCCATAGTGTAACTGTGCCCAGTGAGGATTACACATGAAAAAAAAAAAATCAGGGAAACAAGAGTTAACTGACCAAGCATGCATATAACCCCTAACGAGGAGCATACTGGGAGGAACCCATCATTGGTGCCAGTTAGGTATTACCAAGACAAGCAAAACGCACTGGAATTACAGTTTTTGAATCTTCATTTAAAATCTTACTACCTTAACCACCTTTTAACATAAATAATCTTTTTTTTTTTTTTTACCCCAATTTTTTTCTTCCCCCTCCAGGAGTCTCAATATTTTTGTTTGCTTTTCCAGTTTTTCATTTACTTCCATCTCTCCTCCATCTTCACTCTGAAGAGTGGGGGAAACATTGCCCTTTTAGTGCCTCAGGAAAGATGCAGACTATGCTTTTGTGGTGTACTGCTGGAAATCACGGTATAAAGAAGTAGAGAGGAGATGATCAAGCAAGTTACTAAAGTGGGAGGGGATGAGGACACATGAAATACAAAGGAGTTATAAAGATTGATCAGTGCTCAGATATGTGATTAAAAAAAGCTTTCTGTTACAGGAATCTGGAAGTATATATCATTGTATATTTCAGGTGAATGAGACTTTCGTGTCTGGTCTGCCACGCCAAACAGTTATAGATTTGCTGCGCAAGGCTCGAGGCACTGTTCAACTGACTGTCTGCCGAAGCATGGCTTTGCACTGGGCTTATTCAGGCAATCAGAGCAACAGTATACCTTCCCCCCCAGACATAAAAGCAGAGCCTGGTAAGCAGCCACATCTGCACAGCACATTATAAAAGTGGGATTATGTGTTGCCTGAATTCAACTTTCCTATTAGCAAATCAATTCAATATTACTAACTTTACAGTTACTCCTGATTCATAGCTGTAGATACAAACATTTTTCACCCTCATGTGCAGCTCTGGCTAAGCTACTCAAGACATAGGACCACAGGGAAGGAATGCCTAAGTGTGATTATTTAAGTCGAGGAACAGTGGAAGCAAAGCTGCATGACCCTCAAAGATGCTTTAAGTCAGCTTATGTTTTTAAGCCAAGAAGGCTCCTGGTCTTGTGCTAATTTTACCCAACTTTATGCAACTCTGATAGAATCACAGCCAATTACTGACCCAGCTACTAAAATACATTTCCCACAAATCTCACATCCCAGCACTCCTACCTTATCTCTTGGAAGCACTACACCTCCTGTTCTGCCTGGCAGATAACTCTTCTCCCTTCTGTACTTGTTCATGTTCAAATCCAGAAGCCTCTACTCCCAGGTTGATTGCTATTAGTTTGAGAGCACACGCACCTGCATAGGGCAGCACTTAGAGAGCTAACTCTAATCGAAAACACTTGTGCTGCAGGCTCCACTCTACTGAATGCTCAAAATTTAAATACTACTTAGAGCTGGGAGTGGAAGCAAGAGTATACTATTACCAATAGATTACGGGTTTATATTCTTCAACTTTCTATTTCTTTGAACACTGAAATGTTTCCTATAATGTGGAGAAACTTAAATGGGAAGAATACAGAATTCCTCCTTAATGTACCTTCTGGCCTGCTGGTTACAAATTGGAGGCTTTGTTTCAAATCTTTTCAAGCAAAAAGCCACTGCCATTGCTATTTGCTTTCTCCCCAGCTGACTAGGGAGAGATGCAGAGCTGACTGTGGGTTTTGGAGCTATTTTACAGCAAAAATGTGTGTATCTAGTCAGCTTTACTGATGCAAACTTACCTGCATAATTATTTTGGGCAATTCTGCTGTTAGGCAGCAGCTGCCTCTAGGGTTTAAGGATCTCAGTTTTTTCAGTATCTATTAGACTGAAGCTAATCCTCTTGAACTCCTAGTTTGTGTCATAAGCACTGGACACCCCTTCACTTACTGGAACCTAACCTGTGTGTTTCAAGAGCAAAGCTTTTACATAAAGATGAGAAAACTATGCTCAGCACTGGCCTGGAAGGAGGATGTTCACTGCCTCATCTCTATTCTAGTTTAATTTTGGGGGTTAATGATGCAAAAAATGGAAGGACAGACTGCTATAAAAAGGCTGATCGAAGGTCTTGCCCTATTAAGGGCTATGGAAATAATCCCATTCACTTCAGTGAGTCTAGCCTTTTCTCCAGCTCTGCAAATTTAAGGAATGAACTGTGGAGACGTTTATTCACATCTCACATAACATTGGTGAATTACACAGTTGCTGGAAAGTTTAAACTGTTTTCTTGTCCAGAGAAGGGCAACGAAGCTGGTGAGGGGGCTGGAGCACAAGTCTTATGAGGAGCGGCTGAGGGAACTGGGGTTGTTCAGTGTGGAGAAGAGGAGGCTGAGAGGAGACCTTATCGCTCTCTACAACTACCTGAAAGGGGGTTGTGGCGACGAGGGTGTCTGTCTCTTCTCCCAAGTAACCAGCGATAGGACGAGAGGAAATGGCCTCAAGTTGCGCCAGGGGAGGTTTAGATTGGATATTAAGAAAAATTTTTTCACCAAGAGCGTGGTTAGGCATTGGAACAGGCTGCCCAGGGAGGCGGTGGAGTCGCCATCTCTGGAAGCGTTCAAAAAATGTGTGGATGTGGCACTTCAGGACATGGTTTAGGGAACATGGTGGCACTGGATTAATGGTTGGACTTGATGATCTTGAAGGTCCTTTCCAATCTAGTGATTCTGTGATTCTGTGATTCTTGGACCAGCAAAACCCAATGGTATTATAGAAGCACTGGCGTCAAAGTTAAAACTATGGTATTTGTCCATTAGCACTGCAAAGGAATGGGCTGGGTTAGGGAGGGAAGATTTAAATTCTATTTCAAGTTTTTTATAACTGCTATTGAAACAGGAGTCTACTTCAGTGTATCTTCTGGCAACCTGAACTATGCTGGCTTCTTCAGTGGTAATATACGGCATTTGTGCTGTACTAACCCTCTCAGAGCATCCATGAAAGGGATATTCCATGCCAGTTTCTGGCACTGTATCTCAGTGCCTCTTCCAAGATCAAAGTCCTCTGATGTGGATGGCACAGAAGAAATGCATCTGTATTTTCATGCATTATAGGCATTTTACTTTGATTTTGTTTTCTGATATTCAGATGGTGCTGAGGGAAGTCTGAGAGCTCAGCCTGTTTTCACTTTCAAGGAAGAACAATCTAACCAGAAGTGCACCAAGGTAAAATCTGAATCAGGCTTCTAGAAGTTATCAGGCAATGTACTCATATGTTTGTTTACAAAATGGATTTGCTGCAATGCAGGCAAGAACCACACCTTCTTAATGAGAAAAGATTAATGTAAGGGAAGTGTGCTGCAACGACTGGAACTGCTAACATTGGAATGAGTCAGAGGATTGCACTGAGATAAGAGCATATGATTAGTATAAAATATATACTAAAAGGGTGGGGGGAAGGAAGGTTGCATATGCAAGTCTAGTTCTGGTGCTTTATAGTATTGGAATTAATGATTTATTAACTTTACCATTCTTTCAGTATTTTAAAATAATATACTTTAAAAGATTTCTATTCAGTTATCTGCCATTAATATTCATAACTCCAAGGCACCCAAACTTCTTTAAATATGGTTACATTTTTGAATCTTAGTAAACTCTGCAAGACACTCCACATCAAATTTTACAGCATCTATTATATCTATGTTTACAATTGTAACACCACTCCTCAGAGAAAGTGAGAAAATATAGGTTATCTTATCCTCCAGAACAAATTAAAAAATCCCAAACCCTACCTCAACCAATATAATCAGTCTCGAAAAGAAAAATGGAAGAAATCCTTGATGTGAATAAGCTGAGAAAACGTTGAAGAGGAATTTGTTTGAGGAAGTTTTAAGTACACTGTTGGAATGGGTGTTGGAAGTACACTGTTAGAGACTGGTGAAATGTAGTATCAAAACAAGGTCATGTCCATGATCTGATGGATAAGTACACCCAAGAAATAATGTCAACGAGAAGTAGGAGATAGTACTAAGGTTACAGGTTCCTTATTAGATCCCTGAATTAGCAAGGTATTAAGGCACAAAGTTTTAAGCATGGGGTTACATGTGTCTAGTTCAGCACAGAACACGCCTAACTGTAAGAACATACTAAAATTTTTTGCTGAGTTGGGTCCATTAACTCTCTCTCCTTCATTATTTACAGCTTGCCTTTAGCTGTCCGCTATGAATAGAAACTATTTATGCTTTACTTTATAGAGCACAGCTGCCATCTACTCCAAAGACATAGACTTTGAAAATGACAAGCTACTGAAAAAAACAGATGCAAAAAAGCAGCAATAAAATACCTTTCCTTGGCAAATAGAAAACAAAAATCCATATAGCATTCTCCAATCAGTGCAGTCAGCAGGTGCAGAAACTGGGTAAATGAATTTATGGTTAAATAAGCAGCCATGAATTCCCCTATTATAATGGGAAATACAAGCGCAACAGTAAGAAAGTAAAGTATAAGTGGCAGCTACTATTAAGATTCTGTGGGGCATTCAGTAGTTTATACTGTGTAACATGCCAGGGTGGTTTCTGAGTGCATCTGGAATATTAAGCAGGTAAAGAATAAAAACCACCACTCTGAACTAAAATTTCAATAATTATCTATGAAGTGTTGCAACTGAGAAGGAGCCAGTTCCCCATACTAACGGTAGATGTTCTGCATCATTATTTAAATGCAGGACCCAGTTATCATTCTCTAGGCTGGAAAACCAGCCACCAACGCTATTCCTTCTACTGCATATGGAGGGTGATGAAGGGTCTGCCTTTTCTGTTAGTTGAGTACTTCAGTAGAGCAGCTGCTCTAATAGCTGGCATCATTGTGTCTGAGACAGAAAAAGGAAATTCTTACCAACAATTCCATCTCAGACACTGGTGCTTGCTGCTGCCGAGAGCTGAGAGGTGAAAAATAGAGTGTGACTCATGATGCCTGTGATTGCATTTTCTTTATGAAATCAGAGAGGATATAGCTAACATGAACCTTTTCAAAGTTTAGTCATGCTTGCTAAGTTGTAGAGATGTCTGAAGACTATATTGCTATGAAACTCACAAATAGAGCTGATGTGGCTTTTTACTTCTAGTAGATACTGCAATGCTGAATCCAAGTTACATACTTTCTTCTGAAAGTGTAAACTATTCTATTTTCCCTTTCCTTCTTGATTGAAGGACACATTGTTGTCAGATATAAGAAAGAATGTAGATGAAAGTAACTATATACATGATGTTTCTGTGTACTGATTTTTTCACAGATTTTTCTTATTTTAAACCTGCAGGATCCAGAAAGTATACACAATTCCCCTCTGCAAGGTCAGCTGACTGGACAAGACTATAAGGATATCATCAGTAACATTTCAGACAGGTAAGTCTTTCAAATGCAGTAAAACTATTAAAATAGAGGAATAAATTATCCATACTATTTATTTCCAGAGCTGTCCTAATATGGAATGCAAATGCACTCATGTGTCCCAAATGATAGAAATACAGTTCTATTGGAATGCAGCTCCATCTGCAGTAGGAGTTCCAAAACAGCTTCCACACAACTTCTAAGACTAATTAAACAGAAGCTTCTAGGTGTAACAGCTCATGCGGACACGTCTAAACTACCTTTAGCCTTTCTAGCTGAGGAGGAGATAGAACAGTGGTACCACTATCACATTGGTGTGGGCAGGGTCCCCATGGGCTTTAGTATGTATTCCAAGCAGGTCCTGCAGCCTGGGCTGGACCCTGTGCTACTATGGCTGTAGTGATACAGATGTTGAACTCCAGACATCTGGGAATCCAGAGACTTTGAGGTTGTTACTCCAAAGAAAGTACATAGTACAAGAAGAGAAGAATTTTACTTCAAATTTTAAATCTACAGTACCATGGGATTCAAAGAATAATGGAGCATTGATAAGACACAGGCAGTTTTGTCTATTACAATGATGCAGAATATATGAAACACGATTATTTTCTTTATCACTTACAACCCACATAAATGGAAAAAGGGAATAAATGTTTACATTTAAAACTTAAAATTTTGTAATAACAGTACTTGGCCAATCAATTAGGGATGAAAATCTTCCCTAACTTACCTGCTTGCAGAGCTAAAGTTTGAAAAAAGCTTTGAGAGCATCTGTAAGTGATTACATCCTTGTGAACATAGGCTCAGTGCCACCTCCTATTATCTCATTGCTAATGCAACATTATCTTGTGATATACCAGGTAGTCAGGTGTAATTATTATTAAATTATCTTGCTCTGTGTGCAAGATGTATTAATGCATCTATGGCTAATACAAAGTTATCTTACAATATATAGGGATAACCAGTATCTTTTCTGATTGTTTTGCAAATACAATGGTTTTCTGGCCCCTGTCCTGTAAGATGAATCTTTTTACTACCAGTATTTTCTGGTATTTCCATATTCTACTTGCAAAAGCTTTGTGTAACTTGAACATGCACAGCCTGTAATAGTTATTGACGTTTGTAAAGCTGCTACTTATTACCTTATTCTCCCTCTTAAGGGTACCTTTTACTATTTCTAACATTATGTATTATGATCATACATAGGATAGGATAATGTAAGACTGTGATATGCTTAAGCCTACTACCATAGTTAAGTAGTCAGGTCTGAGGGTATTTGAGCTAGCCAGTAGAGGAGTATTTGGCCCATTCTTCACACATTATAGTTGTATTCTGGATTGCAGGCATATCTTCTACCTAGAACATATTTAAGTCCTCTAAAATTTTCTAAATACTTGTGGTGGGCTGACCTTGGCTGGATGCCAGGTGCCCACCAAACTGCTCTAACACTCCCCTCCTCAGCAGGATGGGGCAGGTGGGAGAAAACAAGACGGAAAAAAAAACCCTTGTGGGTCAAGATAAAGGCAGTTTAATAAAGCAAAAGCAAAGGCTGCACATGGAAGCAAAGGAAAACAAAAGATTTATTTCTACTTCCCATCAGCAGGCAATGTCCAGCCACTTCCTGGGAAGGAGGGCTTCAGTATGTGTAGCAGCTGCTCTGGAAGACAAATGTCATAACAACAAATGTCCCCTAGTCCTCCTCCTTTCTCTTGGCTTTTATTGCTGAGCAGATATCATATGGTATAGAATATCCCTTTGGGCATTTTGGGTCAGCTGTCCTGGCTGTGTCCCCTCCCAAGATCTTGCTCACCCCCAGCCTCCTGGTGAGGGAGGAACGTTGGAGAGGCAGCCTTGGTGCTGTGCAAGCACTGCTCAGCAGTAGCCAAAACACTGGTGCGTTATCAACACCTCTCCAGCTACCACTGCAGAGCACAGCACTATGAGGGCTGCTATGGGGAAAATTAACTCCCATCTCAGCCAGACCCAATACAATACTTTAGGAAACAGTAACAAGCAAAGCCTATTTATCTATGATTGCCTAACAACTGAAAAATGTCATACATGAAAAACGGTCTATAACTGGGACAAACCTTACTTTCAATCATTTTTGGGCAACTTTTTATACAAAGTATGTTTTTATCTCTCTGAAAAAAATAAAATACTACATACAAATAGTAGTGGTTTTCACTAGCTGTATTTGCAAACACTACTCAAGACAAAATGTTCTTCAGAGTTCACACTAATTCTTGAAAATAGTTGCTCAAGAAAGTTTTAAGTGACTTAAATAGATTTTAAATCTATTTAAACTTATTTAAAATAGATTTTTAAATTGGTTAAAAACAAAACCTTTGTACGGTTCAGATTATCAAAGCTTCTGCTGCTTCCGTAAGACCATTCAACTAACGCTGTTTTACAGGTCACAGAAATATGCAAAATGTGAAGGCTGCAGAAGAGAGAGTCAGCAGTCTGAGTCAGACAGCTGGAACAATGAAGATGACGATATGCCCCACAGAATTTCCGTTCTACCTAGAAGTAACCATGCAAAAACTTCTCTTGTTTCTTTAATACTATAGGCCAGCTCCTCCATATATGTACAGTGAGAACAACACTAATCCCCTAAATACAAGCTAAGAATTTGCTCTTTGTGTCTCATGTCTTAAAGACCAGGGCACTCGGGACACAATTTTTACCATTGATATATATGAAGGTCTTCAAACTTTTGCAACATCCAGAAGGCGGCCTACATCAGGGTCTCTCCAACTCTTTCGGAGAACTGCTAGAAGGAAGGAACATGAGTCGGAATTAATTAATGTAATGAACCCAGGGAGGGCAGCTCTGCTGGCCATCACCCACTTGCCACTGCTCTGAGCACCTCTGCTTTGGAACTCCAGTTTCAAAAGGATGAGCAACTTTGTTTTGTTTTGGTTTTGTGTCTGTCTTTTTTTTTTAACGTTATATGTGATGTCCTTCCCCAAACGAAAATCTCTGAATATCTTTATTATACTCAATTAGGTAAACTGAAAAATTAAGATAAAAAGAAAGTTGTTGAATTAATTTGAGCAAGATCATGACATTTGTTCAAATCATGCACTATTGAATAGTGCAAAGAAATGACACATTGGCTCAGTGGCTGAACAAAAAAAATGAACGTTGCAATTTGGGTTAGGAACAAATTTGTGGAGGCTTCCCACTGCATAATTAAAAACCTGAAATTCTTAGTTTGTTCCAAAATAAATAAAACAAAAGCAGATGGATTATCCTACTGACTGGATGTAGCAGAAGGCCTTTTTCATATATGAAAGGCATTGACAAAGAAGGCTTTGAGAATTAATGGAACGAATTCCAGGAACATACTACAAAATGTGCTTGTTATCACTGCATGCAATAGGTTTTTGAAATCTTTCTGCTTTCTCTCTTACTGTTCCCAAACAACTCCTCAAAAAAGTAAATGAAACACACAAAAATTTAGAATGAAAGGGTCAAATTCTATCTCAAGACTTTGTTCCCAGAATCACTGAATTTCACTTCATATAATTTCATTAAAATCGCTAGAACTGATGTGCTTGAACACATACTGAAGCACTTTCACAGCTCAGGTGCTAAAGCCCCTCTCATATAAGAAGACAGTTTACAGAAAGAATCTGCCTAGTTGTTCCTATAGAAAATTAAGCTGCTTCTGCCCCAAACAAGAATAATTTGTGAAAGGGGTTGTGTTGAGGATGCTGTAGTATTCCATAGATTCTCTGAAATACAGGTCTCTCCCAGCTTCTTCTTGCTCTGTAGAAGCAATGAATTGCTGGTGGCTTTTATCAGAAGGAAACCAGTTATCTCCCTCACACTACCAAGCTGTACTGGCTAGTAAACAGAAAATTACAAGCAATCTATCCTCTACTACCTGCTCAAAGTTTGTTTTTTTTATTCCACTTGATCTGGAAGGAAAGAGAGGTGTATGGGGAATAGCATGCTCTGTCTGGAGAGGGGATCTGTCTTTTCTGGCACTCAACTACTTAATAGAAACACCCTCACATCTGTGAGGGTTAGAGGACAGAAAGTAAACAGAAAATGTCTTAGAAGCTCAGGAAAGGCAGGTGCAAGTTGTGGTCCAAGACAAAAGCACAGCAAGCACAACACTTTTGTAACAGAGAGTAGCAATGACATCTTACAAAAGGAAAACAGCGTTGCTCCTTGTTCTTCAGCCTACAACAAACCTGTGGAACAGATCATCAAGTTTTCTTTGAGACAGCTGGCATGTTATTATTTGCCAACAGTAGCCTATGACTAAAAGGACAAATTCCATAATTCCTCTGCCTCAAATCACTATTTTTTACCAAATAAACTACTGTTTTTACTCTACGTGGTTAACAAAAATTTTTCAATTGCTCCAGCAGAGTAGTGATATTTATGGAGATATAAATGTTTATCCATCTTCTTAATCTGTCAAGTTTTGGATCACAGCATATACTTCAGGATGAGTTAGTTAGTAAAACTGAATCCTGATTTTGGTGCCTCAAAGACACTTCACATTTTGTTTTTGAAGAGGAGTCTGAGGTAAGATGAAAAGAACAGAAGATATTTCTTTTCTTCAGGAATGAAGAATTTGCAGTGATTATTCCTAGCAGTGTGGTGTGGCAACAGTAGTTTTCAAGAAAGTGTTGGAAACGTGAAGATGATTCCCTGTGAAGATGTGGCCAGAGTCTCCTATACCAATATAAACTAGTGTTAAGGTTTACAATTCTGCAAGAACAGTTTATTTAGAGCAGACTGTATTTAGAAACTGTATGAGGCAATAAATTGCAATAGTTGGATCTGCTTCCAAATTACATAAAATGTGGTGCTCATTTCATCCACGGTGCTGACTTATTCTTCTTTCTGCTGTGAACACAAGTAAGCCAAAAATATTTTTTCATATTTCGCTTCCACAGTATAAGCATCAAAATGTACTTAAGTACTGCAGCCTCCTAGTTTTTAAAGCCAAAATTTGGCACTATGAACAATAATCATTAAAAAATCCCTTTTTTTTTGTTGATATATAGGCAGAACCTTTGCTTCTGGAGATGAACTGTCTCAGCTAATTAACTTTGAACCATCACTGACTGGAGTAGGTCCAAGGACTGGCATCACAGGTCTTATTCAAGGCCTCCAGCTGCAGATAGAGAATCAAGAAGTGTTAAAGGAGTTTATGGTAAGGTGTGGTTCGTTTTTAAGATCTGAGTGTTTAGTCTTATATATCTTTATCCACTTGTATATCTTTACTGACTCCACTTTCAGAGAATTATTCCAGACAGAAAGGGGTTTCTACTCTGCTGTTTGGGTGATGCTACAGAACTTGGGTCTCTCTCTTTCCATACAGGTCAGGCTTGCACCGTTCCTGTCTAAAGATACTGCCCACATGGAATGAAAAATAAATAATACACAAAAGTAGAGTATGAATCACTTTTTCCCAGACTGACTTCTTCCTGTTACCCCCTCAGCTCTGCTGAACATCTGCCTAAGAACTATTTTGGAGGCTGCATTAAAGCAAGAAATCCATGCTGCTAGGGATTCACTAGTGTTGAAACACTTAGTTGATGAAAGGAAAATGTTTCACACAGTGCTCTAGTGATCCATGGAAATCATTGCCACAAGGTGCTCTTAAGGTCAGGAACTTTGTGAAATTAAAAAGAAAAAGTAACATACCTCCATAGCTAATGAAAATACATAATTACATCCGATGGCATATAAATCATGAAAAAGTGTAAAATTAGGAAAGTCTATAAAATCTCTTGTTTCAGGATATAAATAGAGTACTCAGTTATCTGCAAATTCCTAAAGAACAGATTATTTCATAACTCTTCAACACTACTGGAATTTCTGTTAAATGATGTACTTATCACCAGTGAAATAGATTGCTACCACTTTTCCATAGTAATTACAATGTTATCAGTTTTTTTCACTTGCCTTTGTATCTCTGACTTTCTGGGTACAAAATTGCACAGGCTCAAGTGCATAGGATTTGCTGACTTTCTCTGAAGGCTCAAAGGCATGTATTAATTTCCATTCATTCTATTCTGTTACCGATGTAAGCATAGCATACTATGAGCTGTCACACATCTGCTCAGAAAACATAAAGAGCTAATAGGGAAAGCACTGGTTACCAAAGCCAATGGGTATTTTATCTGAGTAAAAGCTGTAGTAACTGAAGAAATGTCACACGTATTTCAGTCTGTATACACTGTATAGTGGCATAATGTGATGGCTGAGCATTGTGCAATGCATACCAAAGAGGTGAAGAATACAGAAAAGTGAAGGTAACTCAAAACTGTAAATGAAATTAACTTGTACATTCCTGCTTCCAGCTACACTGCATTCTGCTCCCCTAAATCTGCTATGAAGTACTTAACGACCATATGATTTGCACTGAACATGCTGTTACCTATATCCATCATTTTCTGTCACTGAAAAGTCTTCACTGACATTCACTACCTGTTAACAGTTCAATAATTGGTGCTTCAGTCAGTAGGTTATCAATTATGAATGCTGACATTTGGCCAAGACACTATTCCAAACATCTATTTTACAGTAATATACAACAGGGGCTGAAGATTTGGGTTGGAAATCTCACTTGAAAACCCCAGAAATTTTATGCAGGCTGAAGAAAATGCAAAGCAATTTGAATCCCTTGCCTAGAAGTTTAGAGAAGGATGTACTGCTTCTCTTCTGTAAGAGGTTTATTTGCCAGTCTTGGGTCACATATAGCAGTAAAGTTTGCTCACAGTGACTCTGTAATGGTTGTCTATAAAGGATGTGAACAACATGGATTGACTATTTCTCTTTGATCTAGGCTTTAGAACATGTGAAACCAATAGATGACTGCAGAACTGGCAAAGCACCAGAAAACCAGAATAAAAACAGATACCAAGATATTCTTCCGTGTAAGTACGCACTGTAATGAGAACATACATTCAGTGAAGACAGACATCAGAAAACAGGAAAATGGCTATAACACTGAGATGTAGCAGGCAAATCCCACCACATCCTTAGTCACAGAAAGCTCTATTAATAATGAAATGTGTTAAGATTTTTCCAAAAGAGGTAGAGTTCATGTAGGGATGTCTGCATTGCACAATATGTAATTTTCTGAAGTATCATCTTCCACAGGGCAGGACTTGGTCTGGTAGGGGGCCAGCTGTCTTGGTGTTTCCTTCCCTCTTTCTCAGAGTTATTGACCTACATTTCTGTGAGAAAGTGTAACTTGAACTATAATAGCTGTTCTTTAAATCTGTTTAAATGTACAGCTATTCCTACTGCTTGTGACACTGTGGAATTCTGAAAAGTACAGTGGAAATCATGGAGTTACGTAGCTCTCAGAAAGATAAAGATTCTTTCAGAAGTATTTGAAACCATAATATGCAACCAGAGCTTTCAGCTGCTCACCTCTGATATAAGCCAGAAACAAGTTTCCTCACTGATGAGAAGTCATTTTAGAAGGACGATTTGAGTCCAAGTGCTGAATGACTGGTGTTAACAAGGATTTCAAAAAAATAGTGTACAACCGAAAGATTCCCTGAGAGGTATCATGACAGAAGAACATTTTTGGACCCCTGATGTCTTTCTAAATTGCAGCAGCAGGATAACACATGCAAAATTTGTAGCACAGTTACCTCTCTGTATTAGTGATACAGTATACGTTCTCAGAAGTTTCCTGTTTTGTAACACCAATACCCAGTGACAATGTTCCCATGCCATACATTAAAAGCAGTGTTGGACAAACTATTCTGAATTACTGCCAAACAATTCTATGGTAATTAGAAGGTTTGTCAGAGTGTTACACAAGTGTCTTAAGAGAAATAAAGCTGCACTGGACCATACAATTTATCTATGGGAATTCTTACTAGGAGTAATTAATATTAACGCTACTAGCCAAATGTATTCTAAAATCCAGAGGCTTACTTTGCTTCTAGAGGCTAAGGTTCCTCATCTCCTGAGTGCTAGAGATGCTAGAACTCTGTTTTAGACCTACAGCTGAAGTAGCAACTTTCTGTTTCTGTACAGACGATAAGACACGAGTTCATCTGGGAGAAAAGAACGGCTACATTAATGCAAGTTACATTAGAATGAAAGTTGGAGACGAGGATCATTTCTATATTACAACACAAGGGCCTCTGCCATCCACTATGGCTGATTTCTGGCAAATGGTCTGGGAGAGTGAATCGGATGTGATTGCCATGATGACAAAAGAAGTGGAGCTAGGGCAAGTCAAATGTCATCGGTACTGGCCTGAGCCTCCCCAGGACTCTATAGACCTGACTAATTTCCATCTCAGGCTAGACAATTACCAGATTCTGGAATACTTCATAATTAGAACAATAGAAATGATCAACAAGCAGGTAAGTTGACTTAAATCAACTTAAGTATCAAATATTAAGTATTATTAAGTATACTTAATAATGTCATATATGTTGAAATTTATTAGATATTTTACTAGTAAGTAAATAAGTAAATACTAGTATTATTGTTTGCTTCCTCTAAGTAATATTTGCTTACTATTTTTTAGGAATGTAAGAATCTGATTAAAAGGTATGAAATCAGGTTAATGAGATGATTCTTCTTTGCTCATTGCACAAGCAATGGATCCAACATTATATACATTTGGACAATATCAAAAAACTAGTACTCTAATAGTCACAGAGCTGGTGTGCTCAGTGTTTTGCAGAATTGCTTAATGTTCTCATCAAATCAAAACAGCAAGGGCTGCCAGAATGGGTTCATATTCTGTAACAGTGGCTGGAAGGAAAGAGAGGAGGAAGGTGGTTTTCATCCTAGAATTTAGAATAAATGATACTTCTTTCATTCATGAAAAGACATGAATACACATGAAACTACAAATCTAGTAGCAAATTTTTAGAAACCTAACAAATACAGAATCCAGGTGTAAGAACATGGAAATCGAGACAACTATAGTCCATCAGTCTTGCCTCAATATTAAGTAAAGCTTTGCAAAAATTTCTTCAGGACATACTAATTAATGGAATAATTAAAAGATTCATACTTGTGCCAGACTAACTTGGTGTCTTTTTCCATCAAGAAAACAATTTCTCTATATGAAGAAAACACTATTCACCTTATGTCACTGAGTGTGAAATATAGCAAAGCATTTGTATGAGTCTTCCCAAAAGATTATTAAAATAGGAAGACAGGCCATTATATGTGATTGTTTCAATGAACACGTTGTGTTTGCTATGTTTGTCTTGGACCAGTATCTAACTACAGAAAGCCACAGGTTTACTTCAGCAGAAATCCAGACATGCATTCAAATTCTTCTGATGGTAAAAATCGAGGTAGTTCTTTTACATTCAGCTTAATGTGTTTTGGCAAGCTGGCAACAGGAAGTACTGGCCCAGGACCATTCAGTTAATAATACTCTTTATTTTATCTACATTATGACTATTCTTGTAATCATTTTTTTAGTTGATTTGGTTTGTACATTAGGGTGTCTAATCACAAATCATTATTTTATCTCTGATATCTAGACTAGCATTTACTATCCTACCATCATGGCTATCATATTGCTACTCCTCTATTTGTACGGTTTAGTTCAGTTACAAAAGCAATTTTAGTAAACAGTACTGGAATGTTCTAATTTAAGAAATGTTTTTGGTTTTCCTTTCTAACCAACAAATAAGGTAACTACATCCTTTTGGGGCAACAGAGTAACTTCAGTGTCATCAAAATTATATGAAGTTCCTAGACCTGTGTCTTCTGAGTACGTTTCTGAAAACCTAAAAGAAACCTTAATAGGGTCAAGTACGAAAAACTGAAGAATTGTAGGGTGGACAAACAATTGATTAAGAATGAGGCTGAAGGAAAATTTAACAGTGGAACTACTTGAAAATCAGTCTTAGGACTGATAATTTTTAACATTTCTGTTCTTTCTCTTCCAGACAGAAGAGAAACGCATTGTAAGTCATTTGCAGTTTACTACTTGGCCAGACCACAATACTCCCAAACTGGCTGAGCAGCTTGTAAAATTTATTTGTTACATGAGAAAAGCTCACAGTGCAGGACCTATTGTTGCTCACTGCAGCACTGGCATTGGAAGAAGTGGAATTTTGCTCTGTGTTGAAGTTCTGCTCAGCTATATAGAAAAAGATCTATGTGTAAGTATCAAACAGATCATCGTTAAGTATTACAAACTGGTACAGATGTCAACAACATGTGGGGTGTCTTAGATTAGAGTAATCCCTGGTAGAATTCATCCTAACAAAATGGAATAAAGCCACCTTTTGTTGTTTTAAACAACAAAGATAATAACTACAAATATACTATTTGTAAAAGCACTGAGTCACAGCTCTACTGTCTGAACATGCTTAAATCTTTCTTTATAACTTGCACTGTCAACAAAATAAAAAAATGTTCTCTTCTGATAGTTCAACATCAAGCAGATTGTGAGAGATTTGAGAGATCAGCGTTTTGGCATGATCCAAACGAAGGTAAGTTCTCAATATTCAACTAGATTATGGTTTTTAAAAGCCTCAATTAGTGGTAGATACCCACATGCTTTGATAAATCTGGGGCTTAAAGCATAATTTTAGCCCTCTCATTTGAGGAAAATAACAGCCTTCCAGGCAAGTGGTGTCTAGATTTAAATATGAAAGCTCTGTCCCTTACTAGCTAACTGAAATAAAAGCAAAGCACCAATACAGTACAGATAACAGCCCCTCCCCTTTTTTTAAGAAAAAAAAAAAAATCAGGGATCAACAACAAAACCAGTGAGATACCATAAACTCTGCCTGCAAAATTGCAGCCTTCAGTTGAATTCTTCCTATTGCTGAGTTATTATCACCTCTGTAAACCCTTCTACTACTGAGTTAAACTTACCCCTCAAAAGAGTTTTCACGCAGGAAAAGACAAGATGCGGCTAACTCAGATTAGAGCAAACAGGTGGTGGTAAGAAAAACAAGAGAAGACTAGGATAAGTTCTTCCTATAGGCAAATATTTTAGCACATGCTTCACTACATTTTTCTTCAGGATAATGATTGAGCATGTGATTAAATCAAGCAAATAGATAACCTTCTTTGACCTAAATGAGACTTGAGCACATGCTTACAGGTACTGCATTGAACAAGAAAGTGTTCCTGAACTTTTACAAGTGATGGAACAAAAAGAACAAGGATGGTCTTTAATATCTAAGGTTTTGTATCCGTGTTACAAAGATGCTGATTTTATAAACAGTCCTTCAGCCAGTCCACAACCACAACTTTTCTTTGTCTAGAATTTATGTTCAATGTAACCAGGTGTTTCACATCGGTGTCTCTGCACACAGGATGAGTATTTATTCTGTTATGAAGTTGCGCTGGAAGTCCTTCAGAACCTTCAAGCAATGGATTCCTACTGACTGCGGTATGACTCCTCCCTGTTGCTATTCCACATGGGGTCCAGGGACCACTCAGCAATTGCTTTAAAGAGATGTCAAGCCAGCACAGACAAGTGTTATATTACATGCTTTGTTAGATTACTTTAATTCCTAAGGTATTTCTAAACCTTGCTTAACACGTCCTGGGTAAGTCATTTAAATCTTGGCTCACAGTTTGGAGAAACAGCCAGCCAGCACTGCAACACTGCTGTTAAATTGCCATGGGCAATTTTCGTGTAATAACATATTAATTGTTAGAAAAATATTTTGGGACTGTGACAAGGAGATAGAAGCCTTAGGAATTAGTTTTACTGTCCAGAGGGCAACTATAGCAATCTAAGACTCTGTTGGTGTTGGTGGAAGATTAGTTGTCCCTTACATATTGTTGTGCACTCGTGGCTTCTGGACTGCAAATCGATGTTTTCTACAGTAGTTATGCTTTCGTGTGGAAGGACTCAATTTGTTTACGTTTGGTTGCTTGAACAATGTAGAACCATTTCCAGTCATCATTCCAGCCCTGGAATTTATACCACCACCATTAGACATCGAGAAACCGACAGAAAAATAGGACGCCTTTAAATCCTAGTTGGTTCTCTTCAAAGCAGGAAGAGTGTTCTAATAATTGGATGGAATATTATTTTTTCCCAGCAATATGAATGGCTGTAGATAGTATCAGTATTCTTTCATTCTGCATCCATATAAAAAGGAATGCAATACCAAGCCAGATGAAATGACTGTGTGTACATTGTGGCACACATACACATTTCATCTTCCCCTGATCCTTTCCATTGATTAACTAGTAGTTCTTATCTAGGATCTGAACTAATCTATGGGAAGTCCCACTGGTTTCAGTAGGGGCTGAATCAAATCTTTAAATTAGAGTAAATAACTCTCTGTACAGTTTATTTCTCTTGTAAAAAGCATTTCTGTTAGTGTGAGTTTGAGTGGATTTGGACAGAAATCTGCTCACGTTTGTAAGATTGTACCTGTTCTAAGTTCTTTATTTAGAAGGTGATATATATGGAAGTGAAGTTTTTAGATGTGCATTGGAAGGGTAACTTTTAAACATAGGAAATCATAACAGAATATATTTAACTGAATTGTACATATTTTTAAAACTTCTTTGATTTCAGAAAAGAAGAAAATATTAAAAGGCATTTGAATATAAAACTGTAGAAACAAGACAATAAAATAGCTGTTTATTTTTATTATGAATGACACATTTATGGTTCAGAAAGAATGAGGGATTAAATAAAAATTAAAAGCATGACTTTTAGAAAAAGCCACTGTAATACAATTATAATTAAGGCCATGGGCCATTTTTTCTTTCTGTCCTCAGATAGTCTGCTGGAAGCCAGGAAAAAAATAAAAATGAAATTTATGATGTGAGCCAGATGCTAATTTCAGACATATTGATAGAGATCCAGAATAACCCTAAATAAGTGGAGTAACCTTGGACTTATATTGGTATAAACATAAACAGAATTAAATGTTTTGTCTTAAATTCGTTGAATTTGAGCCTTCCCAGAAGCATTACTCTCCATGCATTCTGCATTTGCTATCTTTATTTTGCATATAAAGGACTATTTGCAGTTTTGTCAAGTGTCATCAGCCAAATTTTGGTCACAACTTTGTTACCTTCATTTGGCATCTGGCCTTTCACTTTGATTTTAATTACTGCACATGTACTACTATGCAATGAATGCACTACATGGCACACAAATGCACAATTCACTTTTTGTACCACAACTTTAAAAAGCTTGTTGGTGAAAATGTTCCTGTACTTTATGCAAAGCTGTTTTTTCTGTGGTTTAGAGCAAGCATTCTTGATTTAAGAAGACAATCTTTGTGCAATTATTTGTTCCTCCACATTTGTGCATCATCTTTGCAGCTGTTTGACAGAAGTGTTTGCTGTTTGACGGAAGTTTTTCCTGTTTTACAGGGATATTAAAAAGATTTCTGAAAACACTGAATTGTGTTTCATTTTGATTTCTTTTTATGAAAAAGCAGCTGTAATACCTAACTACTAGCCAGTAAAAGCTCTAGGGAAAATAATCTTTCATTAATTGGGACTTATATTTAAACTTCCTCTAAAGGCAGATTTTGTGATGATGGTCCCTTCTGTATATTCTCCTAAAGCAGGTGTTACTGACTTCTGAGACATTCTGCCATATCCTATGTTCTTATCCTTTAGGAATACAATAATTAAATGCTTTTAAACAGATACTATGGTTATGATCCCTCATAATGAGCGACACCCTCATTCAGACTGAACTTTGGTTTGAGTGAGACATACACTTTTACACAGATCTAGTCTTCTAACACTGCTAGCAGAGTAAGATAAAACAGAACTGTCCTTCCAGATATTTCATAATCTGATATATAACAAAGAAACTTTCATCCACAGAAAATCTCAGAGTCTCTCAAACCAACTTTGAGCAGAGCCAGATAGATGCAATTTACCACATGCTGGGTGACAGGCCCTCCATCTGTCACAGTCCCAGAGCAATTCTACAGAGCAAGTCTCTCAATGCACAGCCCAAAAACATTTTAAGAAAACTGCAGACTTGCAAGGGTTCTGCACATGTTTAAAGATAAAAGCTGGTCACCTCAGTAATAGTAGAGATCATGAGCTCCACTACTGACAGTCAGCCTAGACAGCAGATAAATTTTGAGGAGGGAAGAAAAAAAAACGATAGACACAACTTCTTCCTACAATAGACACTATGTTTGGAGAAATAAACAATGAGCCATCACCAGAAAATGCTTAGCAGATGTGGCTGCCTGTATACGCTCTCTTGGAGATGCTAAGGAACCATGTGTTCTCAGCTTCCCCTTTAAAGGTAGGATTCAGGGATTCAACTTCCAGCTCTGCTGCAGACTTCCTGAATACGCCAAACCACTTAGGATTCTCTGTGCCTCACAGGTTTCTTCTTTTACACTGCACTGCTGGGGCACACTCACATCCTTTACAGATGGGGTCACTGAGCTCAAAGTGTAGATAAACTGAGAGCAGTTAGAAGACTGTTAAGAAGCATTTAAGTATAGGGGAATCTGGCCTCACCCAGCAGCTCGTACACCATTCCCCCCCGCCCCGTACATAGCACAAATGAGGGTCCCACTTCTGTGTTCTTCGTTCATGCAAAACTCCCACAGAGATCAAGGCTCATTGATACACATTCATTCGGAACAAGAGATAACCCACTCCTTAAAGAGCTCACACTACTTGACAAGTCAGGCTAAGCTGGAAAGAAAGGAGGATCTACTGCCCTATTTCAGTCGTATGGAAGTGAGGCAGGGGTTGGTGATTTGTCCAAGGTCTACAGAGTTTTTGGAAAACTTGGGAACTAAACCCAGATGATACAAGCTCTGATTCTGCACCTACACACAAAAGTATCTTTCCTCAGTCATAAAATAGGATCACGCTGCTCTGGCCCATTTCTGGTGTGATATTATTTAGCATATAAAGTGGTCTGACTGGAACTTGCATACGTTCTAACATGCAAGAGATGTATTATGGTACAGAACCTCAGTCTGTGCCTGTGATCACCCCGCTTACTTCAGAAGTGGCACTGAGATCACTATTTGTATTTCTAAACCATGTTACTCTACTGCCTAGTCACCAGTCGGGACAAGTTGCAGTACAAATGCAAACAAAAAGGACACATTTGTTGGAGGCAGCACCTGCCATAACAAGCAGTCAAAACAGGTAAACATCTGCTACTCCTACGATTCATACTGTAGCACAAAACCTTGTCAGTGATACTCTATGTTCAGACAGTAGTTCTGTCTACAGAACAGCACAGTCATCTTACTCTGAGGAAGCAACTCTTTTACTGCCATTGAGACTGACGCTAAGTATTTTATATATAACATTTTATCTCAATTAAAAGCAAGTATAGCAAGGACAGCCACCTCATAGTCATTAAGTTACAAAATCATGTGTGAGTAAGGAGAAGCCAGGGTCCTCATTCTTTCCTTTAACATCGAGTTCCACGTGCTCAGGACTGCATCATGCTGATGGCTCCATGTACTCTAATTCCCCATCTTCAATGGCAAGACATCTTAAAATACCC